CATGCACACACACACACAAACACACACACACTGCTTGTACCTTGATCTCTTACTCATGAGAAATACTTATGTGACACCACCAGTGGCATTTTGTTATGGTACCATAGCCCTACAAACTGATACAGGACAGCTCACAAGATGGCTACCGGGTTCCGTCAGTGAGAGCCCAAAAGAGTATATCCAAAAGTAAAGCCACAGTCTGTTTGTAACCAAATTTCAAGAAGAAACACCTTATTACTCCAGTAGTATCCTATTCACTGGGAGAAAATTAATATTCTCAAGTCTTCCTTGCACTCAAAGAGAAGGAAAAAGATGCATGAAAACCACACAGTAGGGGTTACTCGGACTATTTTAGAGGCTCCCTGCCTGACAAATTAACATAACGTCCATAACGACTTATGACTCGGGTAGTATGAATAATGGCAAGAAAAAAAGGAAAATAGAGAATATTGTGTAATGAATTGACTATACAGGATCTCAGGTAAACAACCTTTAGGTGTATCAGAGTGAAGTTTAAATTTGAAAATGTTTAAACACAGAGCAGCTCTATCAAGTTTACACCACACAGTGATACACACACAAAAATAATAGATACCTAGGAATCATCATCTTTGACTGTGAGGGTAAAATCCAATTCTGTTTTCAGCATCACCACTACATATGCTGTCTTTTCTTATGAGCAAGAACAACAGTAGAGAGCAGTTTTCACTAGGTAAATGTCATCAGTTGCCCTTGTACTCCTGCTTTGGATTCAGTTTTATCACCACCCCTTGCCAATTTTTATCCATGGCTGAGCAACACCTCTTCATGAGTAAGGTTCACAGTCAATTATTACGTGACAATACCAACTAGTCCCCTAAATATATGTTCAAATTAAGGGTTACATAGCAGGCATTTGTAAAGCAGAACATTCCTACAAAACAAACAAAAATCAAGCCAGCTGGAATGTTATTTAGAGTACACCGTCCTGTCTCAGGACCATTATTAGGTGTTCGGGACTTATTTCCAAATTCTCTTAGGGGACCAAAAAAAGTAGATTTTCTTACACTGAAACACAAGTTAAATATATGTTTACTGGTGGTGAGGAAAAGGCACTAAGCATTTCACTCTTTCTTTAGAGAGGAGAACAAAAAAATGGTTTCACATATTTTAATTAATAAAAAGAGCACCAAAGCCATATTATGATTGTTTCTTTGTATAGCAATTACAAGATAAAGTAGATAATTTTGAAAAATGTTGGACATCATAACTTTTTGTCCATAACCTTACTTTTTGAATGAGTGGAACAAATTCCCAAGTTTAAGTCCTGAAGTACTTGGTTATTTAAAATATGCTTATGAAAAAATTGCACTTATACTCTTGGTATGGGATAGTCTCGGAATGGGACATAACAGGAATTACATAACAGAAGTCTTGTGATGCTGAAAATGGGAAGCTGGTAGACTCAGAGATTCATGACCATAGCTCCTGAGGCTATTGCTCCTCCACCCCACCAGACTTGGTGCCATCTCTATGACTTAGCAGTAAGAAGATATAGGCTGGAACCAGGTTGGCTGTGTTTGAACCCTAACTCAATCCTTTATTAACTATAGTATCTGAGACTCAATTCATTGATCTGTAGTGAAGAAATAATAATGTTAATCATAGCTGTGATATTCATGAGGGGAAAAATAAAATCTTTTGTCCAATCTGGCAGATGGTAAACATGCAAACCATGTTTATCAATTATTAAGTTCATAATACTAAAAGTCCTTCTTCAATCTGTTAGCTTGTCAAATGCACGCTTCCCCTTTGAGACACAATTTCAATGTCTCCTGTTTTAGATGTTCATCCGTAAATCCTCCAGCTCCTTCTTCTGGGTTTCCTTTTCATTCATTTGTGCACATTTTAGTTTTATTATGGTGTGTGTGTGTGTGTGTGTGTGTGTGTGTGTGTGTGTGTTTGTGTTTTATTTTTGATTCTCCACTTGATCTGAGCCCCTTAAGAGTTCTGGCCATGACTTACTCCTTGAGTCCCAAGGTGCTCAAAGAGTGTTTATGAAATGTGACCACTCAGGCATTGGTATGACATCTCCCTGAGTAAGAGTATGTCAAGATAGAGTGAGTTGTTAACTAGACACTTTGTATGGAGTTTTCTGAAAAATATCCTATTTTTAAAATATCTTGAATAAGATATTTAGAAAAATGATTTATGTTAAAATATATTCTGCACAAAGCATTAGTTACTCATCATTAATGATTTGACACAATTGGCATTTTTGAAGAGGGAGTAGTTTTTACATACATGATGCTCCTATTGCAAAGATCACTTACCTAAAAATGTGTGCATAGCTCTCATGGTGAGTGATGGGGAGTTGTTTGCATTTGGCATTTCAAATCTCTTATTGAAGTGGTATATCCTGGATCCAGATAAAAATATATAAAGAATATGAAAAGATTTTGAAAACTGGTATTTATCCTTTAAAGGATTAATCAAAACAATTTGAGCCTTTATATTTAACCACAACCTGCATTTAACTTGGAAATTACTGATAGCCACCTGATGTCCTATGGGATAGCAAAATCCATTCAGCAATCATATCTTAGTTCAAATAGATCATTACCCTGTGCTTCCACATCTTTCATCTAAATACCAACATGTCAAAGCTTTGGCTTCTAACTTGACCTTTAATGATATGCTTTCTCATTAACTTTGCATTTGTGTATCATTATCAATTCTTCAGTACTTGGTTTGAAACCCTAAGTAATTAGTACCATCCCACATCAGCATTATTTCACAATGTAAACCATATCCTTATTTGAATAAAGAATTTTAATCTTTAAAAGAAATGTAATTCAGTTATCAGAAAGTGATTTTGTTAAAGCACTGCAAGTATCAGTGTATATCACAAAATGAATATTCAACTTCAACTTATTAGTAGTGTACTTAAAACAAATGTTAGCTTATATTGCCAAAAATGATAATAATATAGCTAACATTTATATAACTAGACATTAAAGAATCTGGGGTGTAGTAGAGCAGAGTACATTAAATAAGAAATTTTGAGTTAAATTTCCAAGCTTACCCTAGATGTCCTTATTATGGTTTGTAGTTCCCTCTGAGGGGTTTATAAGAGAAGAGCACACTGAACTTAAAAAAGAACCTACATTCTTAAAGCACACTCCTCAAATTTAGATTTATTGTTCATTTTGCAATTTTCTCATCCACTTGTCCTTCATTTCTAATTATTATTTAATGCCTCTCTGCCATGTACAAATGATAACTAAAATTTTTCTATTTCTTTCATCCCTGTGATGATCATTGACTAAGTCATTTTCATGGTTTGGCTCACCTCCTGGCAGTAACTTCCTAAGAAGCAATACTAACACTTCCCCTTCTTATATAGTTTTTTTTTCTATAATCAATATATCTTGACATTCAGCACTCTTATCATACTTATTTTTTAAATATTCTGAAAATGGTATTATCCTTCTCTAGTTTGGAGGAATGGTACTAGTCATCAGCATGAGATCATCTGACCACATGACTGAATGAAGAGATCTTCCCCACATCCCTCTCTTTTCTTCTTAGATTACCAGGCATCAGTAGGGCTACAGGGAGAGACCCCAAGGCCACAACTCATGACCCACATAGAAACATCCAGAAATGTGCTTTACTAATCTCTTGATTGTTTCTTAAGCCAATCAAGTTGACACAATTAAAGTTAACTATTACATTCCACCCCCTGTCAACTGGACACTCAAATGTATGCCCTCAAACCAATACTTAATTTCAAAATAAAGACAATATCCAGTTCATAATCCACCTAACCTGATACAACTATTGTTTATGTAACCAAAAATCCATTACTCCTTGTCGGGAGCAGTTCTACATAATTTTGGGGAAAAATCAGTTCACAATTAAAATTATGATTAGGCCTAGTTTACCTGCCTATAGGCCAGCTATGGCATCTGGAGACATAACTCCATTTTTGCCTCCAGTGATGCTGTGATGCTCCAGGGGAAGATTTCACAAGCTGAAGACACCCTGGGGAGGAACAAAATCTTCATCTGCATAGTTCTTCATTGTTCTAGGATTTTTACCCCTGCTGCCCTCTGAGCCACCTGTTATATTGTTATTCCTGATGTACCTAGCTGCTGCCCTCAGAGTCATCTTTTACATTTGTTTCTCCAGATGCACCAAATAGAGGTGTGGCAAGTTTGGGACTTTCGTCTTTGCTGCTCAGAGTGGCATTGATCAGGCCCAAAGCTCAGCTTCTCCTCTAAGTCTCATTTTTCTAACAAATTAATTTGCCTTGTGTTGTTGTGGCTCGCAGGAAACTAGGACTTACTGCAGAGGTTCTAGTAATGTCCCCTTTCCCTGTTCCCTACAACTCCTTTCCCAAAGTCTCAAAAGTCTTATATTTGAGAAAAGTCCAAGTCAATTTCTTACCTGTAAAATTCAATCACCAAGAATTCAGAGGGACTGCTTTTTGGGCATTGAAAGAGCCTCAGGGAAATGACACCCAACTGAGGCCTCCATGGATAATTATTTTTAAATCAAGGACATGAGAACAAAGACATAGAAGGAAAGGAATTGCAATATATTGTATAGAAGTTTGGGTCAGGAAAATAGGGCTAGAAAAGGATGGCCTACTACGTGATACATGTTAACCTAATTTAAGCAAACTTATTGGGCAGGAGGGTGGAAAAAATGCAATGACCAGAGCAAACATCTATTGAAAATAACCTATTGTTGGTTCTGCTGACAGTTGTCCTTCAGATCCGTTCTAACCTTTAACCACACATTCCAGATGCCTTGGAACTGTTTCCCCCAAGGTTCCTTCCTCCAGCATTCATATCAAGCATCCTCTGCTCAAAAGTCCCCACACCAATTCTTCAACCTGTTGGTTCTTTGTATTGTCTTTTAGTCTCAATTTTGTTGACTTCTGCTGTAATCTTTATGATTTCCCTCCTTAATTTTGGTTTTGGCTTGGATTGCTGCTGTTTCTCAAGTATCTTAAGTTTCCTCATTAGGTTACTTATTTGAGCTGGCTCTGTTTTTCTAACGTGAACGTTGATTTCCATGAACTTCTCCTCTAAGACTGCTTTCATTGTGTCCCATAGGTTATGGTGTGTTGTACAGACATTTTCATTAACTTCCAGAAATTGTTTAATTTCTTCCTTTCTTTCTTCTGTGACCCACTGGTGTTCAGGGTGTGTTATTAAGTTTCTAAGTGCTTATAAATTTTCTGCTATTTCTTCTGTGGTTGATTTCTATTTTCATTGCACAGAGGTCTGATAGCAAATATGGGGTGATTTTGATTCTCTTATATTTATTTAACAGGTTTTGTGAACTACCCTGGTATCTATTTTGGAGAAAGTACCACGTGATGCAGAAATGAATGTAGGAAGACAGGTAGATAAGGAGATAATAAGAGAGAAAATTTGGATAAGGGGTCAGGTTCTGTTGGAGATATTTTACATTTGGGATGCAGGGTTCATTTTAAAGGTTCAGAGAAGATACTTGTGGGGGACAGAATATATGGGGAAGGAGATGTCATTTGGGATGCAGAGTTCATATTAAAGGTTCAGAGAAGATACTTGTGGGGAACAGAATATATGGGGAAGGAGATGTCATTTGGGATTGAGGATAGCTACAAAATTGTAAGAATCTACTGATCTATTTGTGCACTATAAGATGGGGAAGAAGCTAGGAAAGAAAAGGCTACATATGATAAGGAAAAAATGAAAAGACAGAATAGAGTGGACAGAAGGTTAATACAAGAGAAGATGGGGGTGACTGAGAAAGAGCATATTATAAGGTAAGAAAAACTTGATAGGAAGTTAAAAAGTGGGAGAAACAATTAAAAATAAGTAAGTAATGTTAACGCAAATACCACAAGTGGAGAAAAAGATTAGGAGAGGAGAAAAGAGAGAAACTACTAAATCAATACAAAGAAGAAAAAAAAGAAGGCAAAAAGAAAGCACAATAACAAGAAAGATCCAGTCAATTCTCAGTTCAAACACTCCACCAAGAGCTTGTATGTGCACTTCTCATGTATCCACTGTATTATCCACACAGTTCCCTTCTTGTCTCTGTGGCAGTCTGCTTACATGCAAGCATGCGAATTTCCCCTTTTCAGTTTTCTCCCCTTCAGCCAACAGGCAGAACATGGTCTTGACCCCAGTCTTGGCTTAGGGACTCTTTTCTATCAAGGACTTGTAGCAGACTTGGCAGGCATGGGGCACCAGGCTCAGACTTGGGCAGGTACAGGGTTTCTGGTGGAGTCTCAGGTGGTCTCAGAACTGGCATGGGGCATCAGGTGGAGACAGGTGGGTGCAGGGAAAGTGTGTGGCACTTGGTACCAAATGGAGACTCCAGCAGATGTGGGACAACCCAGAAGCAATACGGGGTTCCATATATCTTTTTTCAAATTAAATTTCTGTATCAGGGTATAAATCCCTCCCCTCCTTCCAATTACCTGTGATTTTATTTGATCCACTCAGAGTGTCTCTGACATGACTCCTTCTCCAGTCAGGCACGTCTGAGTAACCTTCTTTAACCCCTATCCAGCCACAGTCACACAGTGCCACAAGTTGGTTCTTTGAAGAACAAAAAATAGATAAACTATTAGCCAAACTTACCAAGAGAAAGAGAGAAGACACTCATCAATCCAATCAGAAATGAAAATGGTGAAATTACAACAGACACAGTCTAAATCCAGAAGATACTTAGTAACTACTACTAAAACCTGCATTTCATCAAAATGGGAATTTTTGGAGAAATGACAGATTCCTAGATGCATTCAAATTATCAAAGCTAACCAGAGATGACATAAATATGCTGAAAACCCCAACAATAAGTAATTAAATAGAGACAGTAATAAAAATAAAACCCAAAGGAAAAAATGGAAACAAACTCTTTGTAAATAGGGAGGGGTGGAGGAGTTGAAGGGAGGGCAGGGGAATGGGGAAAAAATAAGAACCAAGATATAGCATGCAAAGGTACAAATTCCCAATGATGAATGTCATTATATTGTATACCTAAAATGTACCAATAAACTTAATGAAAATAAAACAAAATAAAACCCTATCAACTAAAAAAATTCCAAGACTTGATGGATTTACTCCTGAATTCTACAAAATTTTTAAGGACATTATATCACCAATACTCTTCAAATATTTGAATGAATTTGAAAGGGACAGAGTGCTCCAAAATTCATTTATGGAAGCCAATATCACTCTGACCCCAAAAGCAGACAAAGATCCAACAAATAAAAGAAGGCTACAGGGAAATAGCTTTAATGAACACAGGTGCAAAAATTCTCAACAAGTTATTAGTGAACAGAATGCAATTAATCATCAAAAAGATCATACATTGTTACTGGTAGGTTTGATCACAGAGAAAAATCATTTAAGGTAATATATTACATAAACAGAAGCAAAGACAAAAACCACATGATCACAGCAGTAGATGCAGAAAATCCTTTTGTCAAAATCCAATGACCCTTTCTAATAAGAACACCAAAGAGAATAGGTATAGAAGGATCAAGCCTGAATTTGGTAAAAGCTATATACGACAAATCAATGGTCAATATCATATTAAATGAGGGAAACTAAAAGCATTCCCCTTAAAATTAGAAACAAAACAAGATTGTACACTATCACCACTTTTTTCAATACAATACATTAGCCAGATCAATTAAGCTAGAGAATGAAACAAAAGGGATTCATACAAGAAAGAACTCAAATTATCATTACTTGTAGATAGCATTCTAGGCTACATAGAAGACCTCAAAAATTCCATCAAAAACTCTTACAACTAATAAACAATTTTGACAATGTAGCAGCATACAAGATCAACGTACATAAATCAACAGCATTTGTGCATACCAATAATGAATTAAATGAGAAAGAAACTATGAAACAATAACATTCAGAAGAGCTTCAAGAAAAATGAAATAAATAAGAACTAACCTAACCAAGGAAGTGAAAAAAAAAACTCTACAAAAAGCAAAAAGAAGGTTGAAGAGGTCATCAGAAAATGGAAAGATGTCCTCTGCTCTTCAATAGGCAGAACCAATACTATAAAAATGGCCTTACTCTTCAAAAAGTTTCAACACAATCCCAATCAAAGTACCAACAGCATTCTTCATAGAGCTAAAAAGAATTCCTAAAATTTATGTGGAACAAGAAGAGACCCAGCTTTGGCGTCAATCACATATTATGGGTTTTAAGCACATGCAGAATATAAAAGTTGTGTAATCAGGACAGCTTCTACCCAGATGTCAGAAGAAGACAGGCAAGGCCAGGCATTGTGCTCCTGAGAAGGCAATATGTGAACCTGTGAGTGTGAAGCCAAAACAGCAGTGGAGACCCCAGTAAGTTGGAGAAGCCAGGATCATCTGAGGAAAACTTCAAAGAGTGAGCAAAGCAAGCTCAAGAGAGGCCATGAAGGCTACAACCACAGGAAGCATGCACGAGGTGGGGCCACACATGCCCTTTGGAGTTCACATCTTGCCACAAATTGCCCCTGGTGTAGGACATGGAACTACAGAATTCAATGTTTTCTCTGTTGGAGGTTGGTCTTCTTTGGTTTGATTCTTTTCTATCCTCCTATTTCCACCCTTTGGAATTGGAATATTTATCCTGTGCCATTGAATGTTTTAAGTGTTTAAGTTTCTTTTCACTTTTTTACAGGGGCTCAAAGCTTAGTTTCCTTAAATGTCAGAGGAGAGTTGGGACTTGGACTTTTCAACAATGCTGTGGTGATCAATATGAAGATACCTCAAAAAACTAGGACTAGAGGTCCCATTTGACCCAGCTGTTCCCCTGCTGGATATCTTCCCAAAAGAATTAAAAACATCATACCACAGCGATATATGTTCACCAATGTTTATAATGGCACAGTTTGTAATAGCTAAAACTTGGAAACAGCACAATTACCCATCAATTGGTGACTAGATAAAGAAGATGTGGGTTTTTTTTTTTACTAAAATGGAGTACTACTCAGCCATAAAGAATGAGAAACTAGAAACATTTACAGCTAAATCAATGCACATTGAGGCCATACTCAAGTGAAATAAATAGGACACACATGTGTAAATACAGAATAGTTTCTGTGGCATGAGAAACTGAAAGTGTAAATAAATATCAAAGTGTATAATAGATAATATGAAATAGAAAGAAAAGGTCCAAAGGGGAAGGGAAAGTGGGAAGGGTAGAAGAAGGGAAAGGAATAAATATGAGAAAATGAAAAAATGTAAACAAAGTTTTGTAAATAGGGAGGGGTAGAGGGGTGGAAGGGAGGGCAGGGGAATGGGGAAAAAGATAAGAACCAAGATATATCATGTAAAGGTACAAATTTCCAGTGATAAATGTCATCACATTGTATATCTAAAATGTGCCAATAAGCTCAATGAATTTAAAAAAAGAAACATCCTCAGACACATTTTGCTATTTCATCTTTGGCAAAGGGGCCAAAAATATACATTGAAGAAAGACAAAATATTATACAAATGGTGATGGGAAAGCTGGCTGTTAGCATAATATTGAAGGTGTAACCATATCTCGCACCATGCACTAAACTAAAATCAAAGTGGATCAAATTTCTAAATATTAAAATAGAAACAATGAACCTATTGAAAGATAAAACTAGGTAAAATCCTTGAAGTCATAGGTACAGAGAAACACTTTCTAAACAATTTCAATTGCACAAGAAATAACAAGAATCAACAAATGACATTATAACCAATTAAAAAGCTTCTGCACAATGAAAGACTCAATTAGTAGAGCGAAGAAACAACCTACCATATGGGAAACAATTTCCCAGCTATTCTTCAGACAGAGGATCAATATTTGGAAAATAAGAACTCAAAAAAAAAAAAGATTACCTAAAATAAAAGTTCCAATCAAGAAATGGGCGAGAGAAATGAACAAACACTTTCCAGAAGAAGTGCAGATGGCCAACAAATACATGAAAAAAAGTTAATATCTCTGGCTATTAGAGAAATGCAAATTAAAACAAAGCTATGATTTTATCTTACATCTGAAAGAATGGGAAACATCAACAAATCAAAAATGACAAATGCTGACATTAATGTTGTGCAAACCAAACCTTCCTACACTTTTAATGACAATGTAAACTAGTACAACCATTATGGAAATCAGTATGGAGATTTCTCAAAGAACTAGTATTAGAAAATCCTTACAACCTTGCTATTCCCCTTCTAGCTGTCTTCCCCATGGAGCAAAAGACATCATATTACAGTGTTATATCCATAATATATATGGCAGCACAATTCTCAAGAGATAAATCCTGGAAGCATTCTGAATGCCTATCAACAGATGAAAGGATAAAGAAAATGTGGTATTTATACATAATGGAACACTACTCAGCTATAAAGAAGGATAAATTCAAGACAAAAATGTTACATAATCCCAGGATACAAAGCTACAGGATAAACATTCCCATTCTAAAAGGGAGGGATAGTGAGAAAGAAAATAACCAGACTAAAATCCAACAGGGCAAACACTAAATCCTATAGCCCGTGTCTGGAATTCTGAGTACAAGGTGGTCAGATAAGATTTCTAGAGGGTTTGGGCAAACCCACCCTTACAGCCTTGCTGGGTGCAGACCACAGAATATCTTTCTTGGTCTGGATCCTCTCACAGCCTACAGCATTTTTCATCAGACATTCCATGTTCCTGGCATTTCTAACTTCCTGAGTTCTTCACTATACCTTTGACTTTGTTCACACAGCTTGACACACTACCCTTGTGTGGACTCCTGGCCTGGCCTCCAAGGCCTTCCTTTGATATCTGGGTAGAAACCTTCCTGACCCCTCAATTCTTGCTTTCTGCATGCTGGCAATACTAGCATTAAATGGTATTATGGTTTGGGTCTAGATGTCCCCACAAAGCCTCATGTGGTCACAGGTAGCTTTTTCAGAAGTGGCAGAATCTAGAGTGTGTGATGCTGTGATTAAGGGCTTGTGATTATTAAACCACTACAAGGATTGGTTTGGAAACACCCTTATCCCCACAGTCTGGATAAGATAAAAAGAGTGAAAAGACACTGATAAGAGTCCCTTGTTGCTTTTGCTGTCTTCCACTGCCATGAACTGGCGTCCCCTGCCATGTGTCACTCTGCCTTTGAGCCAGCCAATTATGGACTGAAACCTGTACAAACTGTGAGCTAAATAAACCTTTCCTCCTTTAACTTTGGGTGTCAGGTATTTTGTCTTATCAAGAAGAGAAAAGTAATTAAGACACATGGATGATACCAAATTCAGCTGCCAGCTGAAGCAGTAGCCAGTCCCCATTTGAACCATGGCTATAGTAGACTCTAAGTGCATGGGTGACAATAATAAAATGCATTCTGAGGAACTAATTTCTAAAGAGGTTCTTTTTTAGAAGACATCCTGGGGACTTTCTTTTTAACTGAAAATTTACACTTTTGCACCATTGGCCCTGCAATGGGTGGGGTCCTGGTGATTTCTAACATTACCTCATGGCTCCTTTCTTCTTCCTGTACAAAGTATTTTGTTTCTTTTTAATAGTGCTAATCTTTTCAGCAATCACACTTCTTTGGCCCCACCTCTGTACGTGGCCAAAGTTTAATTTGTTTACATTTTCTGCTTTGCTTTTTGCCTCTAATTTTCACTCTAAATCCAGGCAAAAACAGCCAGCAGGATCCATGCTATAACCTCAATTTTAGGCTGCTTCAACATTTTCTCTACCAGATCAATTATTTTGTCATCCTAAATTCCAGTCCCCAGCAAGGTCTCAGGATGTGGGCAATATATAGAAAAATTTTGCCAGAGGATAACGCACTTGGCCTCTAATCCAACTACCGCTGGAGTCAATATTCCAAACTGAAATCTCCTGGGCCTGGTCTTTACCATCAACAGTCCTGTCATCGTTCTAGTCTTCTGAGCTCCAACTGGAAGCACTCATCAGGCTCCTCTTAAAGTATAAGACTTCTCTACCCCACATTGACAAACCTTTCCAAATTCCTGAAAACCAGTTCCAACGGCTTCTAAACCACATGGTCAGGTTTGATCAGAGCAATGACCTCCTTTCTGGTACCATTTTCTGTACTAGCTTTATCATTGGTGCGATGCAATACCCAAAACCCATAACTCATAGAAAGAAATGTTTCATTTGGCTGATGGTTTCAGAGTATTCAGGCCACTGTCAGCAGAGCTGATTATTCATGGCAGCCAAGAAGCAGAGCAGGAGAACAGCACCAGAGAGGAAAGGCACAAGGACCTTGCAGAATCTCGAAGTAGCCGCCCAGACACACGCAGGATTATGCTTTACTCATCCGTTGAGTGCTTCTTAGGCCAATTAAGTTGACACAATTAAAATTAACCATCACAGATGAATGATTCAAACATTTGTCAATGATACAAATTTGATAGACTGCTTCTGAAAGCATATATTAGTACAATAACATGGGGAAAAGTTTCACAGTACCTACTAAATGTAAATACAATTCTATCCCATGGAAAAATGTCTACTTATGTATAGAACTAAGGGGTATGAGTCTATATGTCCTTCCAAAATATGCATAGGTCTCTTCATTGTACCTTTAGTCATGACAGCAATAAATTGGTAACAATTCAAACATTTACCAAGTATTGAATGAATAAATTGTAATGGTTTTGTACAATAGAAAACCACACAGTAATAAAAGAGAACAAACTACTACATAGGCAACAATATGGGTAGATGTTGAGCAAAAGAAGCAAGGCTTTAAAAGAATATATGGCATATAATACAGAAAATACAGCATACAATTATGATTTTTAAAACAAACTCAAGAGTAAGCTCAATTAATTGATACTCACGGTTTTGGGTTGTGATGAAGCATTAAAGTACCTCAAAGGATACAGAAAATGTTCTATATTTTGATTTGGGGGAGAGTTACACAGCTACATAAAAATTCAAAATTTTTTGAAGCAGTACTCTTCAGGTTTGTTCACTTTACTGCATTATTTAACACCTCAATATAAAACTTTTATTTTTAAAATGTGGGATTTAGAATAAATAAATAGCAAGAAAGAATACCAAGGTTGGTCATGAGTTTTTAGAAAATCAGAAATAGTTCCAATGACATATTTTATAACTCCACTAAAATGACAATTGGATTATATAACAACAAGGATCATTCTTGGAAAAGAACAACATAACTATTTCATAATATTTACCACATGAATCTATGAGCACTTTATATTTAATAATTTATAAGTTATAGAGATTACTGAAATCAAAAGATAAAAACTGTGCAATACAACTATTATATAAAGACAAACTAAGTTAAGGTCAAAATTATATGAAAAAGAATGCTTCTCTCTTAAGCCACCATATAACAAATAAAACACATACACACACACACAAACACACAAAGAATGCAGAAGGTAAGAGTAACTAAAATAGTTCTCAAGATTTACAGGGACATCTGACTACCAGCTTTTATAGGTCCTGTTCCAGAAACTTTCCACAATGTTGGAAGTTTCCAGGGGATAAATCCAAAACTTATAATCACCTGGATTCCAGGAAAAGCAGAGCCTCACAGGACTGAAGCCTTCTTCAAGCAGAAGCGTCTTATGATGTTTCTTATGAATTGCACCTGTGCAGTAAGGATTCTTCTAGAGCTATGGAAACAAGAACTGAGATAAGGATCAGCTGGGCTCTGGCCACCTCCACTAATCCTTAGACACTGGCCTTTTGCCTGACTTGATCTTTGCTACCTCCTGTAAAGTCTCTTCTCATTCTGTCTTACTTTCCAATTGAAACTTTTACACTGCAAATTCATGGGTCATTTTTAATTTCCATTTTCACTAAAACAAGGGCCCATGCTAGCTGGTGACACTGGGAGCGTTGGTCTCAAGTCTATCCTGCCAGCTTCCCCAAATTCCTTTAGTTCAGCTTGCAAAAGCTTCCATTGTTAATTAAAACTACCTACAGATACTGGCTGTACTTGGATTAAGCAACTCCAACTGTGCAAACCCTCACTTTACTGTGGCACATTCTCTGTGGACCAAATATGTTTTTCTTGGCTTTGGGGCCATTTTCGTTGGCGCAGAGAGCACCATCTCATCCCTTTTGCCTAAAAGAGTATGTTTTTCTAGTGCGACATGATTTTGTATCACAATTTCTCTTCAGCTTCCAGTGATTAAGTCTCATGTGACTAATGGCATATTAACAATTGCTAAAATTTTACAGCTTGGGTAACACGTCTTTTTCTGTGGGCTTCATAAGAATTTACACAACAGGAAAGAAACATTCTTCTCTTTAATGTGAATGTTATTTTTCAAATTGATATCAATATCCATTGCTTTATTGTTTAAATTATAGTGTTGCAATTGGGTGTTTGAAACACTCTTACCACATAGATTTAAAAGCCTCTATTTTATGTCATCATAGATCTTATCAATTACTTGAAAGAACATATCCTATAATAAAAACAATACAGATCAAGTACTTTATTTTGAAAATTAGAGAGAAAATGAAGATAAAGCATATAAATTGGGATGATTTTATCATAAACATTATAAGTTGTATAATACCAAAATAGTTCCTTCTCAAGACCAGTGTGGTATTAAATAGTCTAATATAAACAACAATATTAAGAAAGCTTAGGGATATTAAAAACTGCCATTAAATGCTGCAATCCCTTAGTCCAGAGCTTGCCATTGAATTGCAAGCTTCACAAGAGGATGGATTTTTATCTATTTTCTTTACTTATATATGTATATATATAAGTATATATACTTTACTTATATACTATTTTCTTACATTATATATGTTCATGCCAGATACTAAAAATATTTGTTGAATGACTATGTTGCCTGTTGAAAGTATTGACTACAATGTCTTGTCTCATAAATTCTAAGTGAGAATCTTTGTTGGTAGGGTTAGAAAATCTGCAATATTGACAATTCTTGCAGCTTACTATCAAAAGTTGAAAATGGCTCTTCTACTGAGGTTCATTCATTACTTGTTATCTATTGAAAGCAGTTTAACAGTAAAGTAACTAGAGTCTTTGCATTTATAAGATCATCTCTAGCTATGCCACCATTAGTATATATTTTTTTTTGCAAGAGAACTATTTTGACACAAATTAAGTTTAATTGGGTGAAAGTTCCAGGCCCACAAAAGCTCCAATGTCATTGTCTATGCCTTAGAGAAAGTCAGGATTGCAGAGTAGTTAGTGTCTTGTTTTCTCCTCCACTTTGAAGGCATTGTTCTCACTTTCATCAACAGATTAGGTTAGTGCTCACTGTGTACTTAGCATAGACTAAATGTCAATGAAAGCAGATTCTAGTCTTATTACCAACAGGGGTTATAGAAAGAAATTGAGACAATAAACAAAAAACACTTCTGTGTATAACCAAAGAAATTTAAACTGAAATGTGAACTCCCTGGGAAATTTCTCAAGAAGTTGACAGAAAAATGGAAAATTTTCTATTAACGAATTTGGTAAGTTTGAAGAAAGTGAAATTATGTTTCCTCCTGAAGATAAAGGAAAGTATTACCTAAAGAATGGGACAGGGCCCAAATGACACCATTTAGTGAATAAGCAGACAAGGAAAGTTGGAGTGACAGTTTTGAATAAAATGTAAAGTGAACATAAGAACATTATACTCTCTAGTTTGAACTTGATTTAAAAATGGAATTGGGGAACAAATTTCCAATCTTCCTAAATGGTTAATCATTTATCTTAATACAATTTTTGGGTAATTCATTTTTTTACATATATATAAAATTTTACTTTAAATAATATGTTACTGTTACCTAAGAAAGTGACTTTAGATTCTGCAATACTTTATTTTGAGGGATGTGTTACACATTCAGTCTTGTGGCTTTATTTTTAAAATTGTATTTGTTAACTGAGAAAAAAATAATTCTTTTTGTTTTACTTGTCACAAACACATTAGCTCATAAATCACAACAAAAGACAGGTTAACAAGAAAAAAGCATAACAAATTTATTTAATTATTTTTTCATGACATGTGTCCATTTAGTAATTAAGACCCAAAGATCCAAGGAAATATATGTGGTGAAAGAATTATAAAGTGGTGGAGAGACATGATGAGAAGAATACAATCTGATGGACACAAACTGGGGAAACTCGGAAGTCGTATTTTTCAGATTATTTTCTGCATCTAACATATTCCTTCTGCTTTCCCCCTGGATGGAGAATGGCACTGGTCACCTGAAGGCCTTCAGGGAGATAGAAAGGAGGTCAGCGTGAGAGCATCTTGTGTTTATGACTTCAGGAGAGAAAGAAGAGGAGGAGAAAGGAAGGAGGGAGAAAATCAGAAAGGCCAAGCTTCGGAGGTTCTTCTCTTTTCCATTCGAGATACTTAGCTGGCCAAGGCACCATACTTTGAGGTATTGTTTTGAACCTTGACATAAGTCATTCCTCTTTGATTTTCTTGAACACATTTTTCATGACTATTTCCTGTGTTAGTTTTACATATTAATTTAGTTTCAAATCCCTTTAGGATGCTGATTGAGATCACTTGAATTTGTAGAATTTATGTTCACTATGAACTCATTCATTTATGCCATGGAGAAAAAAAAATTCTTTTCCTCTATTCACCTTAGATTCATGGGCTAAGACACTTCAAATAAAACTGACTAAAGGAAGAATAACAGAAAAAGAGTTAATTAATGTATGCCATAATTAATGTACAAGAGCACTTAATGTACACTTAATGTACTGCAGCACTCAATAAAGAATAGCTCAAAGGCATGACTAGAACCTGGGGGATCATAGCATTTTGACTAAGTAACAGTGAATTTGGTAAAGAAGTGAAAAATCAATGAAAAAGGACTTTGAGTTTCTAGAGGAAGCAGATTGTGAGGAAGTAAGAATATGGAAGACATTAAGGGAAGGGGTAGCTAGTAATATTGATAACACAGACTCCTCTGCTCCTTCTCTGGGATAGTAAGAGCAAGGACCTGAGTTTGATCCCTGATACCAATAAATAAATAAATAAATAAATAAATAAATAAATAAAGTGGAATGAGACAGGCTAGGTAAGTTTAGGACTAATAACCTTTCTTCTGAAAATTTTCCTAGACAATTAACATACCTTTATCCAAATTTTAAGGTAATGAAAGATATAAAATGAAGATTGAGCTTTGTTCTTGTTTTATTTACCCATTGTAACCTATCTGTAGGTCTAAGTGAAGAGTTACAGGTCTTAGCAAAAGCCACTTAACACCCTGGTTGCCTTAGAAGAAAACACAAGTTGTAGTTTTAATGAATAATGATAATCTCTTATTGTGCCACAGGACAACAAATAACCCAAACTGAGGTAAGAGATGTAGACTTGGGCAAATCAGACAACCAAGCAAGCAGAATGTATCAAAGGCCATAAAAAGCCACGACTGATGGATTGAGTCAAAAAGAGAAGACATGCACAGGACACGACCAAAATGACTCCTGGCTCATGGTTCCTGCATATTACACATTGAACCAATCAGAAAACAATATTCTCAGTCCTTCACTTGAATCTGGCACTGTTTGGAGGATGCTGCTGTTCACAAGACCAATCAGAAGATACTAATCCCAATCCTTTATTTACACATGGAGATGGCCAGTCAAAAGGCACTGTTTCTGATCCTTCATTTAGATATGGTAAGAATCCAAGTGAGGTTTTGATAGGTTAATTATACCAATGTTATATTTGCATGAGGTGGAGGCCAATGAAGATATTTTAGATAATGTTAGACCCAGCGAGAGAGAACCAACCAGAGACCAATATTAAATCCACACAGGAGTTTATTGCCAGCCGGGACCGGAGCCTAGCATCGGACTCCGAGCCCCAATGGGGTGGGGCAGACAGACATGTTTTATACACCTTTGAGACCAACAGTTCCTAGGCCCCCCTATGGGACAGAACTAGCAAAGCAAGCAAAAGGTACAGAAGCAGAACGTCCTGCTGTTAGAACATTTGTAAAACAATAGTTGATTAATTGTTATTTCTAAAGAGACTTTCCAAGGGGAGGAGGTTTCTAAGCTTCCTCCTTCTGAGTTCATCTAAAGGGCAGGCAGGTGGGTCAAGCAGCAATATGGAGTCTGTCTTGCTAACAAGGGTCCTTCAGATACTAAATACCCCTTTCCCCCTTTTTAAAAGTAATTTTATTGGTATTATTTAGATATACATAATAATCACATGCATTATAGGGAATTTGTACCTATACATGATATGTCTCAATTACTCTTTTTTCCCATTCCCTTCCCCTCCCTTCAACCCTTCCTTCCCTCCTTATTTACAAAAGCTTTGTTTCCATTTTAAGGAATGAAGAACTAGGGAGGGGGAGAGGGAAACGAAGTAAGGGAAAAGGAAAAAAATGAGAAAAGAAGGTAAAAATGGAAACCCCTTTCCCTTTATACTTGGAGCCTCTGTGAGACTTTTCATTGGCCTGCTCTTACCCTGTAGAATGCATTTCTCCTCCATCATCAAAAAATGTCCACCTTTGCTGCATTTTCTGTGCTTTATCTAATTATTTGTTTGGGACACCAAGTACCTGGAAAAAAACCCCTTGGGACCCCCATCCAGTATCAGTACTGTCCAGCAGTATCACTTGGTAAAGTCACCACTGTCATTGCTACTGAGCAGTCATTCTAGTTGTTACT